ATTATATTGACCATATTCTACACTTTTACAGTCATAGGGAGCAGTCGAAAACAACATTTTGATTATTAATAGGTACATTAAATTTTAAAATGAGTATATATTGGGGGGGCTTCGATGGAATCAGAGGGGGCTTAGCCCCCCCAAGCCCCACCCTATTTGCGCCTATGATAATATTCATTATTACAATTTGATTTTATTATATTTCCAGTATTTTAAACATTTATTTAAATTAAATTATGTTTTATAATTTTTTAAGAAGAGTCTTGCCGATTTCACGCAATCGGCAGTATTATGTACTTTGAGTTGCCAATTTCATGTATTCGGTATACTCCTAATTTCATGAAATCGGCAATTTCAAAAATTCGGCATAACATATACACTCATATTCAGTGTTGGGACTTATCTAGATAGATTTTTTGTCATCTTTTATCTTATCTAGATAAATAACGCTAACTTATCTAAGATAAAATGTTTTCTTATCTAGAAAGTTGTCTGTATTCTTGCCAAGATTAAAGTTATTTTTATTCTTGTATGGAGACGAATCCAACAAATCAGAAATCATTAAAAACGGTCCAGCCGTGCTTGAATTATAAATTCTGTAAATTACCTGACATTCGTTTATACATATATATTTTGTATTCATAATCATTATTCGTGTATTATTAATAAGTTATTATTATTTCTTGGTATGACATTTTGTTTGTATTTTTATATCTGGAAAATCTTATTTTTCCATAGAAGTTCCAAATATATTAGGTATTTGATTTTAATATACATATGTAACTCATACGCTGAATAATAATTATTTCTCTCTTAGAACTCGTAAAATCGTAACTACTTATAGAATAATGAAAATCATCAAGTTAATAATATATAGAAAACAATATTGTTAACTTCAAATTATTTTTTATGTATTCTGTATTCATCCTGATACGCACAGAGCAATTTTCATTTTTTTTTTTTTTTTATGTAACATTTTAGTGATAAACTATCATTAAATATTGTACATTATATAAAAATACTGCTTAATGGTATAGTACATTACTACAATAAACATTAAACACCTAGGTACCTATTGATAATAATGATTATAATTGAGTCTTCATAGATATTATTAGAATATGAAATATTGACCAAAAAATAACATTTTTTAAAAATATCTTTTTTTTATTTATTATCTTTATCTAGATGAATTTGAACATATTATCTTTCATCTTTATCTAGATAAATTTTGAATTATCTACTCCCAACACTGCTCATATTATAATATGTTTTCTCTTGTATTGGCTCCTTTAGATATGAAACTATCCTAAACATGACTGTTTCAAAAATTACTCAAATTATATTAAGTATAACAATAACCTTACTATCTAGAACTTCATAATTGATTTTCCTAAACCAATTTCAAGTTAGCTCTCTTTTCAATTAAACATCTTTAAAATAGAATTTTCATTAACATGTATGTATAAATATTTATAATATTTTCATTTGAGAACCCTTTGTTTATCTGCAGTTATATCAATTATCGATGTATATCGAGATTCGGGATAAGCCATCGTTTTATAATGAAGAGATAATTGATTTTACGTTCAATAATTTCCACGCATTATAAATAAAAATTTATATATCGAAATTGGAGTTCTGTAATCGAATATTTCAATACCTACTGTGACAACATAGCAGTGTGAATTGTGAATAATATACATATTTATTTAATATATTAATTTTTTTGTAATGGAATTCATAACAAGTAAACGTAGTTAAAAAATTATTTTAATTAATGGGTTCAAATTTAATTTTTCATACTAATCGGTCCAAACAAATTTTTCACGGTATCACTGTTTCATCAAACTTGTACTGTAACTATTTATGTCAATGATGAAAATATTTTAATCAGTAAAACAGGTATGTTAAAAAATAGTGTTAGTTTTTCTTCAATGTTTTAGAACTTATTAGGTACATATTAATTTTATTTTTATAATGTAGAACACTAATACAATGGCCCATGTTCAAATATTGATAGACAAAAGATAGCGAAGAATTTCTATTAATTAACTACCCAAAACCACAGATTATATAAATATTATTATATTTTCTTGTGAAACAAATTTAATTTTTTTATGTGAATCACATAGCATATTTGTCGATGGAACGTTTGAAAATTGCTCAAAATATTTCACTCAGTTATTTACTATTCATGGCT